AAAAAATTATAATGATCCATCCATTTTTCAAAAAGTTATAGCGTTATAAAGCTAAAAATATAAAAATGAATTTGTAATATATTCATTTGATGTATAAAGTAATATACAGACAATAATAAATGTTAATAATATAAAATCGAAAATTTTTTAACGGAAATCGTACGTTTTTCTTTAACTATGATGTCTTCATAGTGTTGTGACCTGGTTGGTACGGTAGACAAAATGAAAAGATAATGCGTTTGATAATTAGTTGCTATTTATTATATTTAAAAATATATTTACACTTATAATTGACTTTACGACTTTAATGAGTTGATACTTAATTAATATAAAAGATTCAGTGAGCAAATTAACAATAGATTCAGTGAAAGTGATTCAGTGGAGAGTCGTCCAGGTTCGACCTTATGAACTATATGACTCTTGAACGAGTAGCTGACTACTACTACTGGCGCGTCGCCTCAGGCGGCGGCGGCCGTAGGCCCAATACATTGAAAAGGGCTGAGCAAGCATCGAATGTTCTAGAAGGACTAGATGCTTGCCTGGTAAATACTTTATATACAAGACAAAAGAGGCTTCCGTTCCCATGATTAATATATATACTATTAAATTACACAATTACAATTAGGCAGCAAAAAGCCAGTTCACAACAATAATGATAACGGACAAGTCCAGAGGTCAATTTTTTTTTTCAAATTAAAGTATATTACATAAGCTTTAATTTAATTAAGTAAAAAAATTAATCAAATACAAGTTGTTTAAAATTTGTGAGGTTTTAATTGAATAAGAATTCATCTTGTATGGAAATATTTTAAAATAAGAATGTCCTACAACTACGCAACCAAAACGACAGCAATGTATATTGAATAAAATTGAGTGTGTCAGTTAATGGAACATCGTTTAAGTCACCAAACTAAAGAGCTGATAGGGAATGTGGAATATTGGATTAACAATTAGTACTTACGATTAAGTAATAGTAATCTTCATATTATGAATTGGTATGTAAAAAATTGACACTGAAACGACTCACAATATAGGATGATATGATTCATTTTTAACTACGTATTCTATTTAAATTTTTATTACATAATTAAAATTATTAATAATATGAAAGAATAACACAATTTTTTTCAAATAATCAACTTATTTGGTTTTATTAAAAAAAAAAAAAAACCCAGCACAGTGGGGTCGAGGCATAGTGGAGACGTTGCATATTTGGGTCCAGTAAAGATTTAATCTGACAGTGATTAAAATCACTATCATAAGAAACGCTTCGATGCAAATCTTTAGATAGTGTGTAATTTTAAAAAATTGATGGATAATTACAAAAGCAACATCAACTTCTATTTCCTTAATTATACCCAGATTAGTAATTCTTTTAATTATATATTATATCATTTTTAAAATTAATTGTTTTCAAATTATTATTGATTTTGATTTTTAATATGTTAAAAGTAATCATTTTGAGCCTACTTTTTTTTGTCCTTTAAAGTGAAAGTTTTAATAAAAAACAAATGAATTTGTTACCATAACTTATAGTTCAAGTTTCAAGTTTGAAATTGACATTATTAAATAGAAAAAAATGAAATTTTTAAGATTAATATGCAATCAGGGAATTTTATATTTACTATTTACAGTAAATTTATCAGAAAAGTTAGATTTTTTTACATTTTTATCGTAATAGATCACTTAAATAAAAATCATAGTAATAATTTCTAATTAACTTTTGGCGTTTAAAAAGATTCTACAATTGAAATATTCAGAATTTAATTAATTTTAATGATTATATATCTAAAAAAACCAATAAAAAAAAAGTTGTTAAAAAGATTTACTCAATTGAGTGTATTATAAAATTTGATTAAAATTGTAAAAATCCATCGTTAAAGTCAGGTGAAACCAAAAATCATTTTTTTTTTAATTTATGATTTATATAGCAACATTTTACAAAAAAATTATAGACTGGTAGTAGCACACTCAAATAGAGTTAAAAAATTAATAAATTACAAAGTAAAATTATTTACTTATGTAGTTGAATACTTTTATCATATTAAATCTAATTCGACAATGAATACTTTAAGAATATTAGAAATTAATGTCTTTAATTGTTTGTATGGAAAAAGGTGGTTAAGCTACTTTTTATTTGAATAAGGAATATTTTTTCGGTTTTTAAGTGTAATAACTTAAACTAAATACGAATTGTAATCATTTGACGTATCGTTGAAATAGTAGGTCTAGTGAGGGTTGACAAAAATCGTAGTCACAAAAAAACCACATACTAAAATAATATTAACATGAATATAAATTTCTTCTCACGAGGCGAGACTAGAGTGATAGGATCCTTTATATTTATTGAAGTTATGGAATCTAAATGAGATAAATATCAAATGATTTGAAAATTTTATTCTAACTCAAAAAAAATATAAAACATTAATAGCCACAGACGGATTTGAACCTCGTACCGTAAGCATAAAAGACACAAGTGTTACCGACTCGGCAACTAATCGTTGGTTTCGTCGTTTGATAAAATTGGCTATTTTATACTCAAATTTAAAAATTACTTTATCGACTTTAAAAAAATAAAAAAAATTTAATAAGTTTAATTTCTTATGTCTTATGAACTTTATTCTATGTCAATTAAATTATAAAATATTCAAGAAAGTAAGTGTATTGCCCTTATAAGATATTTTAAAATAAAATAAAATACAAAACCCAGGATTTTATTACAAAAATAGCATATTTTTGAATATGGTAGCCATTTGCGCATAGAAGATAAGTCGTCGGGACAAATTTTTTTTTTTTAATTTTATAGTACATGACATAAGCTTTAATTTGACATATGTTTAAAGGACACAGTATTTCAGGAACATTTTCAAAAGTTAAGTTGAAAAAGTTAGTTTTTGTAAAAAAGTTGCTATTAAATCCCCCCTGTGAGTAGAATAAGTGTTAGATTTTCAAAAAAAAAAGAATATCAAATAAAAGGAAATTACCTAAGGTTTCAATATAAAAAAATATTATTTTTATTTGTTAATATTTGAAAAAGTTATGGCAGTTTTAAGTACAAAAAACATCCCGATAGAAGGTGATTTTTATCGCAAACATTACATTTTTTTTTTAATTTCGACAGCCATTTGCACATAGAAGATATGGTGTCGGGACAAATTTTAGATACAATTTGTGATCTTTTGACATATTGTTGAAAGAAATCGGTCCAGTGAACGCTGAGAAAAAGCGGCAACAGACATAAAAAAAAAAAAAAACACATCATGGTAAAATTAATACCTTCTCAGCTTCGCATCGAAGCTAAAAATGTATTCAAATAAAGATTCATTATTTTATATAGTAATTTTTTTTATGCAGATAAATTAAAGTGAACACGATCTATTATATGCATTGGAGGTACTGTACACAAAGAGAAAAATAATAGTGCTTTAATTGTTGTTATTTTTTCAATATCGTATTCAATTTTTGAGTGACTTGTATTGTGAGAGCTATCATCGGTACTTGATAGACTTCTAATTTTTTTCGTGTGCGACGATCAAGTTCTTTAAACTCAATAATTTTTTAGCTTCGATGTGAAGCTGAGAAGGTATTGGTTTTACTAAGGTGTGTTTTTTTTTTTTTTTTGTGTCTGTTACCACTTTTTCTCAGCTCTCACTGAACCGATTTCTTTCAATGATACGTCAAAAGATCACAAATCGTATCTAGTCAAAGACATTACCCTCAAAAATTTAAAAAAATTCCTTCGTTCCCCGTAAATGGGGGAAACCTCAAAAAAAATTACAAATTTAAAAATCGCTAAATTTCGAAATTTTTTCAATTTTTTTTACTAAAAACTGCCGTAACTTTTTCAAAATTGAACATATCAATAAAATTTTTTTTTTATAGATGCTTGATGTTTTTAACTATGATTTGATATATTTTTTTTGTAAATTTGACCATTTACCTGCCCACAGGGGGAATTTAAAAAGACAACTTTTTCACAAAAACTTAATTTTTTTAACTTAAATTTTGAAAGTGTTCCGGAAAGTCTGACACTTTTATAAATATCTGAAATTAAAGCTAATGTAATATACTTTAATTTGAAAAAAAAATTTAACCTCTGGACTTGTCTTCACGGCGAAAATGGCTACCGAATGCTATTTTCGTGTGAAAATTCTCGATTTTATTATTTGTTGTGGATCCTTTCACTCTTAATTTACAATAACTATTTTAATAAATTAAATAGACAAGTTATTAGAAGTATAACATTTTAATATAAAAAGCACACGACACAAACCGGTCTCATCGAATGCCGGTCAACGACTGATAACGACATTATTATAGAGAGTGTACACCACATTATTTATATTATATTTAACTTTATAATGCTATAACTTATTGAAAATTTTATGGATCCACACAATTTTTTTATGAGAAATAATATTTTTTAATAAACCCTTTTTCATTCGACATACTTTATCTTAATCGAGATATTAATAAGGAACCAGCAGATTATGTAGCTTTTGGAATAAAACACCAATTTTTTTAAAATTAAACACTATCTAAAGATTTGCATCGAAGCGTTTATTTTTGATGGTGATTTTAATCACTGTCAGATATCATTATACTTGATCCAACTATGCCACGTCACCACTGTGCCGCGACACCCCTGTGTTGGGTTTTATTTATTAGTAATTTAATAAAATTTCTGTTATTATTATATTTTCATTAATCTTTCAAAACTTTTTATTTTTATTTTTATAGCAGTTCTATTATAATTATAATATTTTATCTATACGAAAAATTCAGAATTAAGCAAACTTTTTTCTTTAGATAATATTATGTAATTTAAACCACGAGATTATTTGTCAAGTTTTTTTAAGATACATATTTCAAAATATAATAAATTATTATAACTATAATTAATCTTAATAATCTATACAAAAAAATCTATTAAATATTCTTATAATAAAATAAGCAAATGGTTTATGTATACAGATGTCTTACATAAAAAAAAGTAGTTAAATATATTGTAAATACTTTATTCAATGTTCGAATGCATAGTTTTTAAAAAAGGAATAATACTTTAAAATGAATTTTGATTCAATTATAATATTTCTAATTTTTGCAACTTATGGTATATAAATATTTTTGTTTATGCATATTTTGAATATTATACTCTATTAATAAAATCAATATTAATCAATTTGCTTATAATTTTGTTTTTTTAACTGTTTCAGGATCATTCTGTAAAAATTTTTCAAATGGTAAATTTTTTTGGACATACAGTTTTAATATTATATAACTAGGCTCTGTCTAGCTGGGGCTCCGCTTCAGACTTGGGATATCGTTATGGGTAGGCCACTAATTCCACTTGGAGTACCTGGCTATACTAGATATAATAAATGTTACGCATGAAAAGTATTACTCCAGAATCAGTTTTAAAAAAATATAGTAGACCTTGAACTATTAAAATGAGTAAAATTCAAAAATAGTAAATAGTGAAATGTATAAAATATAAGGTTGACTTTTGTTCTGAGGTTATTAAAAAAATATTTTTATTACAACTAGTACAAAACAATCTATATAATTATTGAGTAATTTTAATGAAAATTTTAAATAAATAACTTGAAATATAATTTTAAATGGAATGACATTAAAAAATATCTTTATATTGTTCACCCTGAGTGAGTAAGGTTTTGGTAATAATATTTATAACATAAAAATCTAAAAAAATATTTTGTATAAAATATATGCATTGTTTTTAAAGGATTCAATCTGAATACCAAATTAAATTTGCATATTCAATTTTATAACCAATTAGAGAGTAATAATATAACATATTTAGCAACACCACATTATTAAAATGAATATAACAGCATTTTTTATAATCTCAGTTTCATTAAAGATTTATTTCTTATGAGCTCAATAAGCCAATTAAAAGAGATTTTTGAATCATAAGTGACATCTAAATTATTAATTATTAATATATTTTTACGGGATAAATTAAAATAATCCTGAAGGTAATTATATATTAATGTATTTTGTTTTAATTTAAAAGAAACAGCTGCACTTCTATCAATGTTAATAGTTATATTATTATACCAGATAAATAGATTATTTAGAAATTCTTGAAATAGCATGGAATTATTTACACATTCAATTTTTTTATAAATTTTAGTATCATCTGCTAATAAAGAATGGTTTATTACTTGTAACGTGGAGAGTGGAGGAGAAGGTACAAGTGAATATTAGAAGAGACAACACATATTTTTCAGATGCTCTGTTTAACTTTAAATTAGAGTTTAATAGAATAACTATTAACACATAACTTTTACAACAATTACATATATTAACTTATTAACATGTAATTTTTGAAAACAGAAGCTTTGACACACGGGTGTTCTGACTGACGCTCTGCAAGACTCAGATTGCTTTATCGTGGTGGAACCCGGTTTGGGTAGGCTGGCCTAAGCCTAATTACATCATGACGCTCTTAAAACTAATAAAATTATCAACACATTTAAAAAACAATACATAAATATTACAGTAATTTAGTAGTACATAATTTAGAGATTCGTAACATACTAGAATAATTTATAAAGGGAGAGAATAAAATTGGATACAAGTGCTTAATTTATGATAATCTTGACAAAAGATAAATTAAATCTGAAACATAATTTTTATACTTAACTGTTCAAGCTTTTTCAGCTAAATATGAATTAAACTAAGATAAAAGCAGGTTACTAAAATCATAACTAATCAAGTTTGAAACTCAAAATAAATTTTTAACTGTAACGAAAGCTTTTGCGAAATATATATACACAATATCAAGCTGTACTTTATCAGTAAATGAGTCAAGAATAGTTAGTTTGAAAATGCATAAATTAATAATTGTGGACAGACCATTACTATAATTTATATTGTTCATTGATCAAAATTCTCTCACATAAAATGGGATATTTATTTTTTATAAATTTAGAAAATAACTTGTGTAATATATAAATTTTTGCTATCGGTCGGAATTTGTTCATTTAAGATTTAACACCTTCTTTTAAATGTAGGAATTTTAAAAGAAAATTTGTATTTGTTCGGAAGTTTGCATTTAAATGTTTGCATTTAGTAATTTATTAAATAAATAAGTAACAAAGGGAGCTAGAATAAAAGCAAATTTTAGTAAAAACAATGCTAACATACTCTCAGGGCTACAAGATGTATTTAAGTTTATATACCCAACCCAACCCAACCACAACTCATTAAAAACTTCCATTAAATTTATCTTAATTGCATCACTTGTAAGCTAAGAGAATGCATTTGAATATTTATCGAATAAAATTATTCAACGCTTGAAAAACTTAGCTTAAATAAATTAACAATTTTATTACCAGTACTAGCTTTCTTATTAATATATGAAATAGTCACAGGTATGCGCATTTATGAATTTTTAGATTTAAAAAAGTTCCAACATTTTGTAAGATTAGTTTCAGTTGAACATTAACATAGTTATTATAATCACGGGTTATTATATATTTATATTTTGTCCGAAGAGAAGAGAACCAAATATAATAATTTATAGATTTGTATACTTTATATAAGTATTAAGATTCTTGTCACTGTTTAATTAATAATATTAATTCATTACTGAACCATATAGGATATCTTAATTTATATTTACAGATTTTAGGAACAAATTTATTTATTACATAATTTATATAAAGTATTTATATAACTTAAAATTTTTAAAATTTGAATTTTACTTAACAAAATACAGGCTTTTTCTTTAAGAATTTTTTTGTCATCCATCAAGCTACTATTCATAATTTTGAGCATACCATAAAACATTTTATTTAACTTATTAAGTCTACTATTAGTGTTATTAATAGAAATCAATCATTTATTTTGAGAAGTTTTAAAATCTTCTAGAGTGATGTGTTACTATAATATATAAATTCGAATAAAATAAAGTAAATTTAAATTTGTGTTGATGTATAGGAATCTAATACATAATTATAAATTTTCATTAGCATCTAATAATTAGATACCAATGATAATTAATATAACTAAATGCATAACATTGAAATCATTGCCAATAGTTAATGTTTAATCAAAATTTCATATTTTAGTTAAACTTCAATGAACTAATTAAACTTAAAATGTTGAGAACAATTATGTTATAGTTTCAGTACCCAAAAATAATACAAATGATTAAAAAAACATATCCTATAATATATTATATGGCTAATAAAACGAAATACAAATGTGTATTTAAATTTATCTTATTCTATAATAGAACAAGGAAAAAAACGATTTTCTGGAAAAATTTTTAGCGTGCTCGGATTTTCAAAATTTTTTTTTTCAACGAAAGTACTCAGTCACCAGACTCCGGGAAAATTATTGGCGAAGGTCGGAAAATTTTTCCGCTCGCCCGCTCGCGTTTTAAAATTTTGACCGTTTTCGAGAAAAACGCTCGCTGACGCCATCGTTTTACGACTTAAGCTTTGAAATTTTCATCAAACCCGCCTAATGACATATCTGAGATATGATAAAAAAATCAATTCAATTTTTCACCGTTTTACGAGCTTTTTTTTTTTTTTTTTAAGTCCACATGCATGATTTTAATATGCGCAGTGATTCATCTTTGCTCATACGTTTATTACGAACCTTAATTATATGGTGTAATATGTATTATTATTAGAACACTATTTTGCATTTGCACTATATTTTATCAAGGAATATTATATGTTATATATAAATTTCAAGACGTTATAAGTGTGTACTTTCATTATCAGAACAGTACATTATTAATAATCTTTTTTAACACGCTTATATTAGTTTCACGTGTATGTTGTTGTTTGTTGTTTGTCGTTTGTTGTTTGTAAGTTTGTAACTCCACGCGGCACGTGTTATTATGTCGCGTATCCCGTCGTGTATGACCTTGAGACTATACTGTTGTAACGCATTCGCCCCACCCCGCTCACCACTCATAGACAACAATATTTTCTAACCCGTAGACGCGCGCGTGTCATCAATTACGTATATATATAACAAATTTTTATTGTAATTGACACGGCCCGCGTCGTTTCATTATACACAATGCCCCACGACTCGTGCCACCTTTATCAGCCGTCGCCCTATTATGAGTATTTGACTGACCAACACCTCGCGTTATACGCCGCTGTGCAAAGTCCAGCAAGCGCCGCACGCCCGACGACATTCCGCCGCAAATGATACCGTAGTCTTCTTCCCGTTGTCAAAGTGACAACGTCTACGATTCGATCCGCACTCGCGCGCCGTCGCTATCAACGCTGCTAACCTGTTGACGTCCGAGGAACACCGCCGGACAACGCGTCGTCGATGCCAGCGAAAGTGCCGCGATATTATGCGAAGATTATATATTCCTACCGCCACCGCTAATATTAATATATATATATATTAATATTTGTACGTATATACGTATATGTTAATATTCATTTATATATTCCTACAGCCGACGCCTCTGCCGCCGTATATGCCTCGTGTATAATGTTCCCTCCGCCATGCCCGCCCACATAAACACGGCTATACCTCATGCATGATACGTTTACGTACTTAAGTCCCTTTAAATATATATATATTCTAATTACTATTAAAACTTATATATTAATACACTTTATACTCATTAAGAGATATGTAGTGTATTCATTCCGATTACGGAGGATGATTCTCGTATCGTTATTTTTCGTCACTACCTCCACGTTACGCGCCTGCTGCTTTCCTTGGATGTGGTAGCCGTTTCTTAGACTCCCTCTCCGGAATCGAACCCTTATTTCCCGTTACCCGTTACAATCATGATATTGATATTAACTACTATCATAACATGAAACTAAAAAGTGAAAAATAAATATAGTTTTGTTACACTGATTCTGATGTAATATTTTTTCTGAAAAACACTTATCGTGCCCGGCGTAGCCGTGTACCCCAACCGAAATTAGTGGCTTACTTATGTTGATGGCCCAAAGAGACTTACGAAGACGCGTAAGGCTCTAAGGGCTCCGGGTTTGGGGCGCAACCTAGTACTTAATAATAATCTATGTATTATTATTTAGTACAACAGATATGCAACAGAATACTTTACAATCATTAAAAAAACTTTTTTAAAAGAGTGTTATTTGTGTTTTCTGTTAACGTACTATAAAATATAAATAAAATTGCGATGCGCTTACACAACTCGGTATCTAAATAAAAATTATGACTGTGAATTTGATGATAGGCGATAAATTTTAAACGCTTATAGCAGGTAGAAATTTTCATAGTATTTCTGGAATATATAATAGACAAGTCTGATAAAAATTTCAGGCTTTAAATTGAAAGTCAGTGAAGGTTATGAACATTTTATTTCTAAATATGTCAACATTTTTAAATGTTAAAGGAATGCAAACATTTATTATCAAATTTGTAAATTTTTTTTTCAGAATAAAATCGCCGATTTTTGTTTGTCATATAAAATAAAAAAAATTGAAAATGGTAGATCGATATGTAATTTTTTAGCATTAGCAGAATTTCTAATGTTTTATCATATAATAAGATGTTTTTTGAGTTATAAATGAAAAATAATTTAAATCTTAAAATATTATGTTATTAAATATAGTCAAATATGTATAATTATACTGAAAGAAATTTTAATATTAATAGACTTAGTATTTAGATTTATTACAATCGGTCGCTAATAATGTTATTTCTAATATTCTCAATAAAAATGTTAAATGAATATCATTGATGAGTGATTTTGTAAATAAATTAAGAGTAAGATTCATAATAAACGAATGTAAAATATATTTTAGATTTTATAATTGACTTTAAGTTAATATTAATGATTCTTATTATAACTTCATATTTTATTCTACAAAATAAAATTTTATAACATGACAAACATAAAGAATAATAGATTTAAAAATGTTTTTATATTAGATGTTGTGGAGTGTCCTTTCTGTAGTATTAAGAAATCTAGCGCTTATCTTATGGTTTCACATATCAACAATGAACATGTAGAAAATACAATTACCATATGTCCTGAATGTCGCAAAGATTTTCAAAATGGAAGTGTACTCGAAGTACATTTTTATCTAAATCATGTAAATAATATATTAAAATCGGTAACAACTATTTTTATCGTATAACTTATTTTTATTTAAATCTCTCTTAAGTAATTAATATAAAGTTTATTTTATAATTTGTATCTCTTGAGAATATAAATGAGTTGAGTTATAAATTTTACAGCTAAAATTTATTATTCATTTTAAGCACCTAATACCTAATTAAAGCATTATGTAAAATAAATCCCAATTATATTTTCTTCGATATAATTCGTAAAATCATCATAACTTATGACTAAAAAAATTATTTACCCTAATGAGGATTTATTATTTCAGTTAAGTATTTTTTTTTTCAAATAGATAAATAAAATTGAATATGATCTACTACTTGCAACTGAGCTACAGCTACAATTTGATGATGAAGAACGGTTACAACAGGAGGAAAATTTTAGTACGTAGAATAATTGCCTTGTAAAATTGTTTCTAAGACAATTCATATAACATTTCTAAATATTGCAACTTTTGCACGACATCTTGTTTACTACTTTAACTTTAATACTCATAGGCATTTTGAAAAAATGTCTAGAGTTATTACAAAAATATAACACACAGCATCACATTTTTAATGGTGTCACGTTACCATTATAGTAAAATATTATAATAAAATACAGACAAGTCGTCCGCTACTAGAGACTGATGAATTGACGTTTAATTGGCATTCGTCCGAATTACTATTTAAACCCAAAGGACCTGGCCATTGTGATCAGTCGATTCCAATGATTTGTATCATTTATCAGTCTCGGTACTCGATTGTCGCTGTCCGGTTTACTGTATTAAGTCAAGTAATTTTGCTTACTTTTTCATTTACTCACTTTCGTCTTCTACATCTCAGAATACTTGTGTCTTGCACTTCGTCTGCACCTCATACCTATGTGTTACCCTTATTTCATTCCTATAAGAACGGCCTTTCGACACCCACAGCCGATTCGGAGTGTCAGCCGAGCATGGTAAATGCTTTATGATCACACGTACGTGAATATCTAAGTAACAGACTTATCATATTTGGACCAGACTCACGTTGAGATGACTTATCGTCTCATCCAAGTAATGTCCGCCCACGGCTGCTTTAACGAGTACTTACACCGTATTCGCAAAGCAGCCACACCGATGTGCGACCACTGTTCGGATTGCCCGAGAGAGGCTAAAAAGGGCTCTGCACACACTCTTCCGGTGCGAGGCGTGGGCCCAGAAGCGGGACTTTTTAGAGTACCGACTAGGTTCCACGTTCCGAGTCGGGTCCATGATGGACCTGATGTTGAAGAGCCGAGAGGCGTGGAAAGTAGGTTCAATAGGTTTTTGTTTTGTGAGTTATTTTGCCAACTCTCTCTTAACGGTTTCCACTCTGGGATCCGGTTAACGGGAGGGGGCCACACCACGTTACAATTCAGCTTTTAATTAATTTCGGGCTGATTCACAACGTGGTGGCGTGAATTATATAGACGGCGCCCTGAAGTAATGCCTAACGGCAGTTCCGGCTGGCCCACAATAATGCCGACCGTGAAAAAAAAAAGACTAATCATCTTCGTGTCCACATTACTCTTCACTTACTACACTGTAGGTTATTATGTATTACAATTCATTAAAACTAAAAAAAAAAAATAACTATAGCTAAATTTTTTTTCATCTTTCAAGTATTAAGTTAATCATCAAATACCTATTGGAATTAAAAGAAATGAAATTGTGCAACTTGTAACTTATTATTCATTCAGAGTAAAGAAAATGATGAAAAACCGAAACATTTAGATATAAACAAGTTTTTAATATTACCCAAAAGTTTAATCCATATAATAGTGTAAAACATAAATACATCAATATTGCCGAAGACTTCGATGGTGTTATAATGAAATATGTTACGTTCAATTATAAATCCATAATGATACGTATTTGGGAATAATTCATTGTGAACTTCAATACTAAACATATCAGGATATTTTAACATATCAGGATTATTTAATATTTGGCTATATTTTCAATTATGAAACATTAAATTAAATATGTAATTTTTAGAAAAAATGACAATTGAAATCAAAACATTCATCAAGGAGAAAATAGAAATAAATTGAAAAATTATGAACAGAATACATAAAAACACATCACATCAAAAGTCGTGCATTGATATTTTTATCATTAGATACAAGTTTAAGATTTTTATAGATTCCATTTGCTAAATCTTCTCAAGTAAAGGAAAACCTGGAGAGTAAATAAATTTGAAATGATTCATTGGTTCATTGTTTAATATTTATCGATGTCCGAAATCAGCTATTGGTGATTCATTAGTCTAATCGAAATACTCTAATGACATTGAGTATTTCGATTTCGCCACATACGAACTCAAAACTTTTTATTGAACACTTACTTTAAGATTGTACACAAATTTTTTGTTTATTGAACTCATATAAAAATATTAATGTATGAATGAACGCAGCGCCCGGTGGTACTCACGAGGGTTCGATTTTTATTTTGTCTTAAGTCTGGCTATATCGAGGAAAAGGAATAAGATGAGAGGGCTATATGAATGAATGTAGAATGAATTTTTAAAACATATAACAATGAAATGTATTATATATGAACTATAAAATCTTATATACATCAATGTGGATAGGGGGACATTTAATACTAATGCCACAATGGCAATGATATAAACAAATAATGAATTATAAATGTGAGCAAGTCTTAAAAAAAAGATGAACAAGCATTATATTTATGATCTAATTTAACGGCTGATGATAATGTTGTATGTTGAAAGGATCAATTGAAGTTAAATGCAAGTAGCTGATCAACTTGTACAATATGCTGCTGAATGGTACTGTGATGTATCTCAGAAAAGATATAGACCCAACAGCAATTTACTGAGCGCACTAGGGTGCGGCAATTGCAAAAGTGATATTTTACTTTTTACAACAAAAGGAATGCAAAACTACTGGCTCGCAAGCGCCTTAGCTTATAGCTTATAGCTTAAATGCGCTAAGATGGTAGCGACAATACAGACATAATAATATTAACAAATCGATGAAATAGGTTTTTTGGGTTAGATAACAGCGACATGAATTGCACGAGTTTGTTCAATCAATGTAATTGGACCCATATTACATTTTCGTTTAAGTATAGCTATATTAACAAAATGAAGACTATACGAAATTAAACGCTGTAGTTTTGCTAATGATGAGAAACGCATCAATAGATAATCGTCAGATAATAAACACGGATAACAAGCGATACGGATTTAACAGGTTTTACGTTGGGCAATTTGGCAATGCTCAAAGGCGTAAATTTCAAGTGCAGACATTCACCTTTAGGTAGATGTAAAAAGGATGGATCGTTCCAATGAACATTACATTGTACCATTTACCAGGGTGGCAACCGATAGCCTGGCTCGCCCGGGCCAGAGTGCACCAACTCAAAACGGGTAGAAAATTGCTGCGACGCAAGTTGATGACGCATGGCCGAAAACCCCACGGAGGTTTTTCCGTACAACGGACGGGATGGGTGACCCAGATGATGGCCTAGTCACCGTGTGTCATCCCGACAATCGTTATCAAACCGGCTTGCCGCTTGGGTAACAGTGGAGCTTAGATCCTTAGTGGCTGTCACTGGTGTGACTTAATGGTTTATGACCGAATGCTGGCCTTAGGGAAAGCAGCTGGGAGACGAGTTCTTAGACTCATCCTTAGAGCCTACTGGCCTTTCCTAGTGAGGAGATACACTGGAGGTAGCGTATACCATAATACGTAGTGGCTTGGATAGTAGCCGCGGCCCTACCAGGGTGCCCAAGGTTGGTGCAAACCAGAGGTGAAAGGTACGGATAACTTAGTTATCCTGCGCTGGTGTTCTGTTTGAAGACATGGTGACCATGGATCGATTTGTCGCTCCTTGCTTACTGATCCTCCATGTGTGACAAATAGCACCAAGTACTAACACTGATCACAGTTGTAGGTGAACCTCTTCGGAGAAAAGACCACGAGACAAAGGATCAGCTGGATTCTCAGCTGTAATAACATGTGACCAAACACAATCTAGTATTAATGGATGAATTTTCGCAAATCTATTTGACACAAAAATTTACACTAATCAAGCATTAATAATAATAAATTTTATATATTGAGTTTTTATACTAACTCTTTAACATATGTCTAATAAATATTCGAAGAGTGAGAAAAAGGGGCTGACGTTTGGGATATTTAAATGTTAGTAAAATAATTAACAATAAAGGAGATACTAAACAGTACTAAGAATGGCGCTAAATAATATATATTATCTCTTATTAAAATTACCTCGCTGATACGCTATACTCCAACCAACCTATGGCTATAATATTGTGATAAAGGCGGCGATAAAATGAGACACAAAAAGAGGCACCTCCATAATTACATACTAGTGCATTGAAAAATATTTGGAATCTAAATTTTGAATAATATGTCTCATCATTTATTTTAAAATATTTACATTCAAATTGTTTTTAGATTTTATTTATATCAAGTTAAAATACTAAATAGTTTTTGGACTTTAGATTGAATGATGACAGTGATTAATATTATTATCATAAAACACTTTAAATCAAATGTACTCAGTAAAAGTTTCAAGAATAAGTAATAGTTTATTTTCCTAACCTATTCTTTTAATATACCAATGCATAAAATGCTTAATGGCTAAATAAAAATTGTTCATAAAATAAACAATTCATATAATATTTTTGAATGTTGAACCTTTTACACAAAATCATATTTGTTTCTTTAAATATGACATATATTGATACAATAAAAATGTCCAGAGGTATTACAAAAATAAAATACATAGTAGTACCTTCTTAGCTTTGTATTGAAGCTAAAACAAATTAATTTAGTTAAATTTTGTGTTCGTCATTTAAGTATTAGAGTAGTGTAGTGTAGTTACTGTATAAATTATCCAAACATATCTAATAAATAAATATTAAATAAAATGTTGATTTTAAAAATGTTTGAATTAATTATTTTGCAGATCGTATGTCACAACTACCTACAATAGAGAGTAATATAAATCATTTTGAATCTGATCTATTATATGCACAGGAATTACAGAAACAGTTACAAGAAGAGGAAGTACAGTTACAACAAACGGAAAATTTCAGTGGTACTTAAAATTAATACGTCTTTATTAAATGCATATTTTAAAAATATTTTAACTTTATAATATTTCCTACGATATTATTTTTCGTTTTTATTTATATAAAATTAAAAAATTAAGTACAGATGGGAGCTGGTATAGTGGAAAACAGTTTAGATTGGATGATGACGGTGAATAATATCACTATCATAAAACGCTTTAAATCAAATATGCACAATGAAAGTTTCAAAAACAAATATTAGTTTGTAGGTATCGATTTCCCTAACCTACTCTTTTAATACGCCAATGTATTTGGTGCAAAATTGTGAAAAATTCTCTTCAGAAAAGTTTTAATAAGACAAATCATATAATATTTCCGAATATTGCAACTTTTACATAAAACCATATTTTTACTCTAACCTTAACATCCATTGATATGTAGTAGAATTATCTAGATGTATTATAATACACAGTTGAACAGTTGATTTTAAAAAAGTTAAAAATTATTTTCAGAGAATAACTTGGAAGCACCTACAGTAGAAAGTAAGATATATAATAAATAATATAACTTCTCTTATTATGTATCTATCATGATAAGTACACCAACAACTATTGAGTTTTTTAATCAAACTTTTTAGATATATCTGAACACATTCGTCGTTTAAGTGAGATTTCTCCTGGAATTCGTGCTGTCTATTTAGCATCTTCAATGGATAACTATATGACTGCATACAATGATTTTTTTTATGGTTGTAGTTTAAGATGTATGCAGATGTGGTTATCTAGTTTAATGCTAAATGAGGATTATAAAAAACATTTGTCTAGCATGTTTGATGAATTGTATAATATGTCGATTTCGCGTTATAGAATGCCAACGGTGAAAATGCTAGAATATCATATAGAAGAATGTTGGAATAAGGGTATTCACACATGGCGTAAAAAAGAATTGTATGCTAAAAGTAATTATCCCACTCAGTATGGTTATAATGTTCGTGAAATGGATACAATGCTTGTGGGATTACGAATTAAGTATGCTACTTGGAAGCATTTGAATAAATCAAAATAATTTATATAATTTTTCTTAAGTTGACATATACTGGAATAACTGTTTTTTCAAATAATATTTACAGGGGAATGTATAGAACGTTCGACCAAAATATAAACCCGGATCACTTTCAAAATACGTTAATTTGGTTATATAATTATTTTAGAAATGAAACTAATGAAAAATATGTGTCGCCAGTCATACTACATTATCCAGGTAATTCAACAATTTTTTAATTTTACATTTATATGGCCCATACATTGCGATAGCGGGTTAATTAGAGAGGTTAACCCACTCGTAACAAAAGTAAATACATTATGAAGATCGTTTTTGAAAAATTGTGAAAATGAAAAATTTAATGAGAAGATTTAATTTAATTTATATTTTGTTATAATTTTTGATGTGATGTTTTAAAAGTTATTATATTAATTAATTATAAAAGTAATTTTATTAATTAGATAATTTTTTTTTTACAATGTAGTTAAATACGTATTTTGCTATTAAAATTTAAAGTTGGAATCCCTATAAATTATAATGGATGATGCTAAAAATTAATTAATGCCTAATAAGTCAAAAACATTTTTTTCAAAATCTTATATACTTTTTAAGTTATTAAGTAGATGATAATAAACGGAACACTCTATATACACTCAAATTGATGGTTTCTCCATATCTAATTAAACTTGCTGCTAAGCTTATTTTATTCTAAGTAAATAATGCTGCCCCTATCCAAATCTCATACCTGTAACTGAGCGGCTTAATCGAATTTTACACGCCATTCCTATTAATCTCGTTATAATAAATAAAATTATTGTTTTAAAAATATATCATTATATTTAGATCACGCAGTTATAGTAGTTGGTGTAGAAATTAGAATAACAGATAATAGCATAATACCGTTAGTGTTGTGTCCTAGTATGAATTATTCCAATATAAAAACTCAACATGGAATGAACACTTTAAATATCATGCGATCACCTTCATTTATATTCAATCACGATAATTATACCGTACTTATAATCACAGGAATTATACATGATGATTCAGAATATAAAGTAATAATTTAAATATTTGTTATAAAAATTTTATGCGAGTATTATTTTTTCTAATCCTTTAATGATAAAGTTCTAAGGGTTTAGTATTTTAATTTAACTTTATGTAGTAATCACATATATAATACATAATTTAATTTGTATTTTCATTACCCCTTTTTATTGTAGAATTATATACCATTCAAAATTAATTTTGTAAACAGGTTTTGTTGTTAAGGTTTTTCTAAAGAATCATTTTTCTAAAGAGTAGAAATGCTGTGAATGATTTCAAATATTTTCAATATTTTTTATTTCATAGAGCTTCTAAGTTGATACACAATTGAAAAATAATAATTTTACAAGAGCCATATATATTTATATTTTTTTTTGGTAAAATAATTGATTTCTTTGCATAATGATAAAAACATTAAGTAGTATAATAATAAAATGTTATTTTGTTTTCAATAAATTAAAAAAAAATTATTTGTGATGATAAATTAATAGTTCTTAATTACAAATATTTAAAAAAATAGTAAATTAAAACATTTAGCAGATCTAAACTCTTTAGATTTATCAAAGCATCGTGAATCAACCTGTAAAGTATACAGGTTGATTCGCAGTGATATAATCACAGAGTGATATACAGTGTATATCTATGGTAAATTTAATGGAATTTAGTGTCTTGGAAATGGTTTACACAAATTTATTATTGCATAATTTTCAAACCCTAATATTATTCTCACGTTATTTTTTTTCTATTCCGCAATGGGTTCTGAGTCTCTCAGAAACACTTAAATGGTATACAGAGTGGACAACTAAACACATCAATATAACATTTTATACTTTTTTTTTGTTTAAATATGTTTTATGTTATTTTTCGAAATAACATGAAATATATTTTAAATATAGTCCTATATTGTAAAAATTGATTAAAAAAAAAGTATAAAATGTTATGCAGATGTTTAGTTATATGAGTTGTCAGTGAGATCTGTTCCACTCTGTATATTGATAAATATATTAAATAAATATATTTTTATATGTATTTCAGACGATGATTAAAACCAGACTTAGTAAGTCAGGACGTTATATAATAACTTAACTAAATAATATAGACTGTAAACAAATAAAAATAAATAAATAAAAAATTAAATCATCATAGATTTTAGTGCAATTTGTTATTGTTTTTAAATAAATGTTTTGAGAAATTAATGTTTTACACTTTTATATTCCATTATTGTATTAATAGTCGCGTATGCTGTGTATAAATATTCCACAGTTTGTTTTTTTAAATGAATAGTAGAATTATCGTCGTAAATACCAATATAAGATAGAATAAGCTTATTGTATAAGCAAAACAAAAAACTGTAACTTCAAGTGAAATTAAAAATCACTTTTTGTAACTGATTTTAAATATAACGCTTTAAAGATTGGTATGATGTGAAATATCTTCAAAAGCATGTATCACATAAATATGTTTTTTTTAAATATAATAAATGTATCACAACACTCAGCTACACTTGTTTTTTAAAGTATTAAAAATTTTTCTTTTGTATTTAATTGTATCAGCTAAATGTACTGTTTTTAATTTATCAGCTCTTTTAGCTGAAGCAGAAAAAAACGGCAATATTTGACATAATTCGCATTATATTTTTATTAAGGAAACATTACAAGCCTTAGAAATGCAAAGGTTCAAAGAGTGACTAAAGTAATACGTATAATATGCATGAGTGGCTCTAGACGTGAATCAATCAACATATTTATTAATTTTTAATTATAAACGGGTAAAAAAAAATCCTTTAACATAATGTGATAGAATAAATACAATAATTTCTTAGTTAACATAAATTAAATCAAAAATACAATTTTAACTAAATACTACCCAGATTTATAATAAACAATTAGAAATAAACAAATTACAATACATAATTAGATAATGCATTATAAGTATTCGACTTGAAGACATCACAATACATAAAGAAAAAATCAACATAGTTTAAAATTTTATTAGCTAACAAAAAGACTCGAGGAAAATATGATAAAGAGCTTAAAGTGGTAAAGAAAGAAACATAAAACAGTTTAATAACTCTGAGGTTTATTTGACTAGTTCTAAAGCCAACCATTGAAAGTTACTCTAGGCAATCTACATTACCATTTAGTTAGTCATATAAAAACATAAGATCACCAACTTTTCTTCAAAGTTCACAAGATGTAATACATAACTGAGTAGAATGTAAATAATATGAATCCCTAGAAAGACTAATATTCAATTTAAAACAGATAGATTTCGTATACATGTATTGGACATTTAATAAATTAATGTAAACAGTATAATTAGGGGACCAAACTAAAGAACCAAACTCAAGCTTTGATCTGACAAGAAAAAATTTAACAATTTTGAAGTATTTATAATTTTTTAAATATTTAATATTTCTATTAAGAAAACCCAAACTCTTAAAAGCATTACTGACAAATTTATCTGTCTAGTAAAGGAAAGATTATCCTCAAAAATTATTGCCAAATCTCTTATGAAATCAACCCTAGTTAAATTGGAATTTTCCAAACTATAGTTAAAGAAAATAGGATCTTTTTTACGGGAAAATGATATACCTCTGCATTTACTTAAGTTTATAGGTAACTCATTTATAATATTCCAACTATATAGTTTTTCAATGTTTAACTGTAATTTAATACAATCACACATTGAGTTAATAACTAATAATAAAAATATTTTAGCATCATCAGCAAACAATAAATTATTTTTAGGGGTATCGAAAGTACTAGGCAAGTCATTTATGTATAAAATAAATAGTAAAGGACCTATATAAGAGCCTTGTGGCACCCCAGAGTGTACTTTAATATCATTTGAAACAACTGAAGTCAATTTTACGACTTGTATCCGATTAACTAAATACAATTTAATCCAATTTAAAAATGAGCCATTTAATCCAAAATATTCTAATTTTACTGATAAGAGTCTATGGTTTACTTTGTCAAATGCTTTTTGAATATCTGTGTATATTGAATCAATTTGCTGCCCCTCATTAAAAGCAGAAATAGTTTTTGGTTGATATAAAAAAAGATTAGTAAGCATTGATTTATTTTGTCTAAAACCATGTTGATTGCTAACTAGTTGTTGTGACATTAAAACTGATAACTTTTTAGTGATAAAGGCTTCAAACATTTTAGGAATAGCTGATAATTTAGATATAGGTCTGTAGTTACAAAAGTTTGATTTATCACCTGAGTTATGGATTGGAGTGTATCATATTTTATGAAACATATGTGATACGACTTAATGTTTAATATGAAAATTATAAAATATTAAATTTTACGAAATAAAAGTAATAAGTAAAAATTTCATTGGACATATGTTATGATTTATATGTATAATATTATTATACTTATAAATTATAAAACTTGTAATCAGGATATAAATAAGGTAATAAGAGATCGTGTTTCTTTTGAAATAATCCACCGATTTTTTAAAATCAAACGCTATCTGCAGATTTGCATAGAAGCGTTTTTTATGATAGTGATTTTAATTTTTAATTTATCAATTTATGTACTTGACAATGTACCTATGGTCCTTGTGCTGCTACTAAAATGACATTATTATGAAAATAATATGTACAGCTAAAAAAAGACGAATTTTATTCCATGTGTCATATAAAGATTTATAATTAAAAGTGCTATCTCAAAACCAGTGTCCACTACATTATTGCGACGTGAGTCGTGTTAAAATTATTATATTATTAGTTAGAACTTAATTTTTCATAACATCATACATTGACAAGTGGCCCATGATAATGATAAAATATTGTTCATTGATATCACCGGGGATGGCCCTGAACAACAATTCAAAAATTCATAAATTTTTATTTTACAAACAATAAATATGCAGTATAAGTAGGGTAATATTGGGAATTCTAGGCCCCCCCGCCTCACCCCTTCACCTACCCACCCTATGGTGGGTGGGCGTGGTCGGGGGAGGGGCGTGTCACACAGTGGGCGTGGTTTCTCAATGGTGGGGGTAATGTCAAGGTCATATANCGCCTCACCCCTTCACCTACCCACCCTATGGTGGGTGGGCGTGGTGGGGGAGGGGCGTGTCACACAGTGGGCGTGGTTTCTCAATGGTGGGGGTAATGTCAAGGTCATATAGTGGGCGTGGTCTCTCGATGGTGGGGGTAATGGAGGATCGCATTCATGAGGGTGGGGGTAAGGAGAAGGCGTGGTCTTATCATAGATAAGATAAGGGAGGCGTGGTCTTATCATAGATGGGGTAAGGAGAGGCGTGGTCTTTCGATGGTGGGGGTTATGTCAAGGTCACACAGTGGGCGTGGTCTTTCGATGGTGGTGGTAAGGAAGGACTGGATTTATGAGGGTGGGGGTAAGGGAGGCGTGGTTT